TCAAATTTTGAAATGTCTTTAAGCTTCATGGGAAATTCAATGCCATCAACATTCAGCACGGTCTCGAAGTGTGGATACGATGACATTAGGCTAACATGATCTCTGGCTGGATATAGAGCTGATGTGATGGCCCAAGCAAAGCAGTACGCATCATTATTCTGCACATTCACTACACCCTTCTTGGTTTCAATAAACTTAGGCAGCTTTATGTATGAGCAGCCTCCTAACGGAGAGTACTTATTTATATTAACTTCTAGAAATAGTACTTCCTGTAATGACCAACCTGAAACAATGAATAATTTATTAGTTACCGATATATTATATATTATATAACTACTATACCTGAATCTTTATGTTGGAAGTCTACGGTTTGAGATACCAAGGCGTCCTTAAAGTTTGCATATACCACATCCAAATCCGTCGGCAAATCTAGTATTCGATTTATGCTATTGAAAGATTTGATTTCAGAATTATCTTGGCTCTGCAATACATATGTAGCGAAGACCTCTACATTAACTTTAATGGCATTATGGGCCCTCAGAACAACTTTCAACAATTCCAATACCCTCACTTTTATAGCCTCAAAAAATGTTATATAGTCTATATGTTTTTCATCACTTTTGACTCTATAACTTGCGATTCTGCACTTAAATGCACTCTTAATTAAATATATACCATCGACATGAATTGTGCATGCCTTTTCTTTATGACTAAGACTCCTCATATGTGATGTCATCTGATTGGTTGCGATGTCTACATTACATGATTCACATCTACTTTTTATGAACTTGTGGGTCTACGGTACGATGTGAAACTCGCATTACACGAGCTTGTTTTACCGGTAAAACATCCGGGCTTGAATTGGCGGTTCTTTTCGTACCGCTGGATGATTCACCATTGCGGTTAGATATCAGATTACAACTTTTATTTTGATGTCGTCGTAAATTATCTGCTCTTGTAAATGTTAAACCGCAATTACACTTATACATATCTACTATTTTTATGATTATTTCGATATTAGATAATGAAACTTCCAACGCACTTATAGCTCGCGACTGATCTCATTCGTATAGATGTGATATTATATACCTCTCAATAAATCCCCACCTCCACTATGCTCCCCTCCCCTATTCATAATATACGGGAACAGCTCCAATTCTTGTTACTTCGGTATAGAGTAACGTAAATTCTAAATACATAGTAATCACTAGGAGGTAATGAGATGTACTTACTATGCTCATTACACTACTCAATTACGTTCATTAAAGTATATAATTTACAGAATAATTGGGAGGCACTTGCTAATTGCGCGAAGGGTGGGATACTACCCCTTCCAACAATATTTACATCGCGCGTGTCTGCCGAAGACCGGTGATTCACTTTAGCTATGGCGGTTGAGAGTCAAGGGTGTGCATGGCGCCGACTTATTTCCCCTATGCTACAACAGTAAACAAGAGAAGTACTTAGACTTATTACACTACGTGATATACACAGTAAATACTGTCTGAGAGGTATGCATATGGTGTAATGAGAGGTACTTACTATGCTCATTACACTATGCAATTACACTCAGTACAGAATAATTGGTTGGTCCTTACATCACTATGTGTACTGAGAGGTACTTACTATACTCATTACACTATGCAATTACACTCATTACACTATGCAATAACATGGTGTACAGAGTAATTCAGAGGTACTTGCTAATTGCGCGAAGGGTGGGGGGGGTACTTGCTAATTGCGCGAAGGGTGGGGGGTACTTGCTAATTGCTCGAAGGGTGGGGGGTACTTGCTCGAAGGGTGGGGGGGTACTTGCTCGAAGGGTGGGGGGTGGGTACTTAGGGTAATTACTAATTACACCAATTGCCTCTGACCTTGCCTCTGACCTTGGTCCAGAACTGGCTAATCCCATCTACTATGCTTCCTATCATAGCACGTTACTTTTAAAAATGCCCAATAATTCCTGGAAAAAATCTGAAATTCTGGATTGGCTGACGACACACAACATTCAATTTGAATAGAATATGTACAAAAAAGATTTATTGAACACATAGTTTTCAGAAATAAACCACTAAAAATGTATAAAGTAGATCAATTTGCAGAACAATGTAGCCACATAGTTATTCGGTTACCTCGTTATTATTCTACATTTAACCCAATTGAAATGATATGGGGTATTGACAAGAATTATTCAAAATTGTGGAGAGAAGCACACAGACTGTAACCCCCCAAATCTGATCTAATTGTATCGGTCAGACTGAAAAAAATATTCAGAAATGTTGGGACCATGAAGTTATATTTGAACGGGAGGATATTTTACCTGTAATTATTGATTTTAATGATGATAGCGATATAGTGCTTCTTATTCCGAATAAAACTATTACTTGATGTTTATTTGTATTCTATTTATTTTTATTTAAGAACTACTTCCAAAAGCTTCTAAAATTGTATTTTATAGGTTTAATGAATTAATTATTTAAAGTGACAAAAGATAGAGTTCAAATTAAACAGTTATTTTATAAAATGTTTCTCGATTTTTCGATTTTTCGGTTTTTCGATTTTTCGATTTTTCGATTTTTCGATTTTTCGATTTTTCGATTTTTCGGTTTTTCGATTTTTCGATTTTCTGGTTTTTCGATTTTTCGAGGGGTTAGGTTTATTTTCGTTACGGAATTTCTTGATTCGGCCGCCGCGCTCAAAGCCTGCAATAAAATCTGTGCAATAGCTTAATAATGAAACATTGATAAAATAAAAATTAATATTTTTTCTACACCCTTATTATAATAATGCACTTATATGCCCATAATCCGTTTCATAATGATACCCATTATGATACAGATTTTTCATTACGATACAGATTTTTCATTACGATACAGATTTTTCATTACGATACAGATTTTTCATTACGATACAGATTTTTCATTACGATACAGATTTTTCATTACGATACAGATTTTTCATTACGATACAGATTTTTAATCAATAGAAACCTACAATTTTTCAATCAAGCATGCTGTTTGACGTTTGTCCTAGGTTCCTATGTATTTGTTTTAGTTGTCAAAACGTATTAAATTTTGGTAGATAACTAAACTTCGTTAATTATAATATTAAAATGTCTGATATCAGCGATATAGAAGACTCCTCCACACATATCGGAGAAAGCAGAAAATACAGTACAAAATATTTTGCCGCAAAAATCTAGGGAAATACCAATACCCGAAGTAATACCATTAATTACAATTTTGTAGAATTTTTTATAGAAATACACGAGTAATTATTGTTATTGTGTTCAATACCAATATAAATATAATTTTATAGGCCTTGATTATTATTCGGGTGTAGAAAAAATAGCGTATGCAACTCTCATGTAATGGTTATTAAAACACACGCATAAACCATACGAAACTCGCCTTTGGATCGTTTCGTATCCCGGTTAATGCTCGTGTATTAATAACCATCATTACATGATCGTTGCATAATATACTATTATAAATCTTGCAAAAAAAAATTAATATCTAATATTTACGCCAGCCGGGAACATTTGTGATGCCAACTTATTAGAAGCCAGAGAAAGCTCTTCTAGTTCTTGTATTGCATAAACGTCCCAGTCCGCAGACGCATATTTAACTCCGCTTCATAAACTAATACGAATAGGGTCGGATAAAACCTTCCACGGCTTTCAAAACGCCGCACCGCTGTGCCGGTCGGAGTGGGGGGTGTTAGGTTTATTTTCGTTACGGAATTATGGAATTTCTTGATTCGGTCGCCACGCTCAAAGCCCGCGATAAAAGCTATGCTATAGCTTAAAAATTGAAAAAGAAATTCCGTAACGAAAATAAACCTTAACACCCCTAACTCCGACCGGCACAGCGGTGCGGCGTTAAAAGCCGTGCATCTTCTAACGTCGTTTCAGTTCGGCAGACTTCGGCACTGTGTTTGTGTGCGTGCGACTAGACATATGCGTGTAGACTAGCTGCTAACTGATCATAACTGATTCTATCTCTTTTAGACACAATTTCGGAAAAATTGAATTTGAAAATGAATAATGATCCACAAGAATCCACAACAAAATATGAAAATATGGGACCAACATTGACGCGGTATTTTCCAGATATTTAGAGGATATCAAGTCTCAAACTTATTGTTTATTTCAGTTACCATAAACCTATAGTTTCAATGATAAAAATTCCTGAATAACCTACATGTATTGTAAAGGTAATAAAAATATTTTAAACAATATTAACTTCTCATTTATTCAATAAAAGAAAAGAAATTGTTTTCTTATCGGTCACCACGCTCAAAAAGTGTAACTTGAATTAATATCAAAGAAAAAAACTTGAATTTATTAATTCAAGTTTTTTTCTTTGATATTTCAAAGAAGAAAAATACTGCATAAATAAAATAAATAAATAATTATAATTGCATAAGTTGATAAAAAATGCTATGCAATAGCTTTACCGCGGCAGTCCCCGAGTGCCACACGTTTTTATTATAATAAACACTTTTTGTAGTTTTATTTGCCTAGATGATAATTTATTAATTAATATTTTAATAAACTGTTTTTTTTTTTTGTAATTTCATATTCTTTTAATGTTTTATTGCACATTTAAAGTAAATAATACCGATTCGTCAACACGGCACTATTAAAATAAAAGTAATATATATTATCTTTGTTTTCGATATTCTTCCTTCCCCTTGTAACACCACTGGCCAAAAAAAATATTTTTTAACTATGTAATTTGACTCCAAAAATGTATTGGAGAAAGCCTATGTCCTTCGTGAATTTTCGGTATTTGCCAGGTATTGCACCTAACGCTAACTTCACATTATTATTTATGACAAGAGACAGCTGACTGGGTTCTGTCTTAACGCCGTGGTCTTAACCGTCGTAACCATAGAGTCGTAACCAACCCTATGAACCAACCATAACCAACAAAATTCTCCAAAAAAAAAAAGGCCAAAAATAAAATTTAATAATTTTGGATTAAAAAATAAATAAAATGAATTCAGTGGAAAATGGTATTAGGGCCAATCATAATTCAAACCTTTTTTCAATAGGCATTATTTTAGATAATTCAACAAATGTATTTGGTCCATTAGTTTTTGAAGATAACAAATATGAGTGTCTACAACAAAGTGATGCTACAGAAACCAAATGTTTATTATGTGATGATAGTTTTAATTTGAAACTATCACTACCCATGTTTCTTGCTCACATATTCGATGTTCACAGCATTGTAATTGAAGATGTTCAAAATATAGATAATCTAAATGAGTAAGACATTATTTGTGCTGTTATTTGTTTATATTAGCAATATTTCCTTTTAGATACATACAATACTGGAGAAATAAGTTTAAAAACAGTCCTTTTGAACAAATTATTCCATCTCTTAGTCTGGATTCTGCAGGACAAAAATATTTTTTAATGTCCGTTTTACTAAAAGAAGATAAAGAATTAAGACACCATTTAAAGTTAGAATATGCATTGAGGGTACAGGAATTTGAGAGGAATGATAAAAGTTTCTCAAGGCAGTGTTTATTTTGTAGGCTTATTTTTGAAGGTAGTTTTATAATTATTGCTAGTAAAGGTGTGTTCTAACATATGTGAAAAACAATATGGTACAAATCATATGCGGCAAAGATTTTTGCTTATAGTCCAGGATCCGTAAATAAGGTCGACCTTCACCTATCTGTTTAATGGAAAGTTTTTTTTTATTAGATAAAATATGTTTTTAAATACACCGCAAATGGGTTGCCTAAGAAAATATGGTCACTGCCATTTTTTGCTTTCCTTTCTGTGTACAGATAAGGAAAGTATAGGAATCATGATAAAAGTTGCTTATAATGTCATTCTCTATTATTTTGTTCCTATACATGATTTCCCTAAAATGAACCTAATTTGAGATAGTTGAGGAAATGTGCGAATTTTGAAGACAACTCAAAAAGGGATAAAGAGAAAATTTTAAACTTAAGCTTTAATCTATCCTGCGATAAGCTGATTGAAGTTTGGGCATAGTCGAAGCATCTGGGGAATACTTACAGGGTGTCGTTTTTTTTATTTTAAGAAAATAAATTGTCTGGACCGTATTTTCTTAGGCAACCCTTTTGCAATATATTTATAAACATATGTTTTTTAATAAAAAGAAACTTTCATCCATTAAACAGGTGGGTGAAGGTCGACCTTACTTCAGATCTTAGACTATTATGATTTATACAGTAATATTACAGTTTTTGCCTATGTTGGAACATAAAAAGATAAAAGTTAAATTTCTTAGGAACAAGACAAGGATATTTAGAACATCTTTCTAGTCAGCACAATCTACAGTTAGGAAATCCCCAAAACTTGGTCCACATTGAAGAACTGATAGATAGCATTGATAAAAAGATAACTAATTTAAAGTGTTTATATTGTGAAAAAACGTTTACTGATAGAAATGTACTTAAAGAACATATGAGGAAAAAGTTACATAAAAGGATAAATCCTGAAAATAAAGAATATGATAAGTTTTATATTGTTAATTATTTGGAAGAAGACAAATCTTGGAAGGCAATACAGCAAGAGGACGATAGATATGCCTTACCTAGAGGTAATATTATTCTATTTTTTGGAGCTTGTTTTATATATAAGTGTTATTTGTTTATAAAGTTCTCTCTTAGGTGCAGAAGCAAATTCTGATGAAGAATACTCAGATTGGAATGAACAGGAGGATCAAATAATATGCTTGTTTTGTAAAAACAGAGAAACTGATATAAATTTGCTGTGTCTCCATATGGAATCAAATCATGGATTTGACTTTGCTCTTTCCACCCAAAATATGGATTTCTATCAAAAAGTTAAACTCATCAACTTTGTCAGGAAACAAATCCATGATAATAAATGTTTGTTTTGTGATAACAAATTTGAAAACTTCTTCAATTTGGAAAAACATTTGATTGAAAAAGACCATTATAAAATGCCAGAATTGAAATCGTTTGATCAGCCTGAGTAAGTAGTATTATCTATTTGAAATACTTATTATATAATTATTTTTGTAGGTTTTACTTTCCTACTTATGAAAATGATGCCTTTCTTTATTTAATAGATGATCTAGAAGACTGAACTTTTAATTTAATAATTAAATGCAATTACTATGAATATATTATGTATACATACTAAAAATGACTTTTATTTGGATTACATTCACTTGAAACTGAGCCTCACTTTACTTGTAATCTCTACTTTCTAAGACATGTATGAATAAAATGCAGACTATATGGTAGACACGATATAAACAAACAAATAAAGTATTTAAGTATATTTATTTATGTAATTAAAAAAAAGTTACAAAGCAAAATAAAAGTAATGTTATCACAGAAATATAAATAAGAAAAGCTATGAAAAAGTACATTTACTTAAAAAAAATCTTAACAATCGGAAGCATTAAAATCTACTCCACTAGTATTGCTGCTACCTGGAGCTGTCCCACCTTCGCCAGATCCACTAGCAGGTGGACTTGGCTTTTTTGTTCCCCCTCTAGCCAAGCGGTCCAACTCGGCTGCTGCATCTGTTCGCATTGTTGCTTTATCAGGTAAGTTTTCACCTCCAGGAGATTTAGGCATTCCTCCACTTTGGCTGCCAGTTTTCTTGTACAGCAGGGAATTGAAGAAGTTTGCAAGGACACCTTCACCCCCTGGCGAACTTACAACCTTGGAACCGTCTAGTTTTCTGGGAGAACCTTGAATACCTAAAATATACATTCCAAGTTCTCAAGACTACTATCACAAAACATTAAATTTACTAACCTCCAAGTGGTGGCCTAACAGGAGATTCTCCCAATCTAGCTGTGGGTGGGCCACCTCCAAATGAAATCTGCTGCTGCCTAGTCAGGAAAGCCTGCTCATCTTCAGCAATCACCTCAGTTTCTCTGTTAATAGTTTTTCTGGTAACTGGCTGAACTATTACATCCCTGTAATAATCATCTGGCTTACAGGAATGCATATTCTCATGCAAAATACTGATTTTCTTCAGATTATCCCAACCAGCTGGTATGAAAACTGCATCTTTTTCAACAACTAAAGCAGGTGTGTGAAATGGAAAGCTATAAATGCGATGTGTGAGATATTTATATAGCAAATCACAATTTTTATCTTCTTTAGCACTGGTGTAGAAAAGAGCAGCACCATATTGCAAGCAGAAACGCCTTATCCACTGTTGCATGAAATCTAAGTGCTCATCTCTATAATCCATCTCTTTTTCCAGATTTTGGATATAATCTGTTTTGGTTACAACTACAACTATGTCTAATCCCAAATTACTATTCAATGTTCCTATAACAAAGTAAATGCAATTATTTTTTTTTCTTGTGAAAATACACATTTATCCTAACCTTCTGGTAGAACCGATCCATCGAAAACTTCATCGTCGTCTCCTAAGTTTCTCGAACTCCTCTTCATGGGTGAAGCTGGATCAAGTTCATCACCTGGTTCTGCATAATCCAGCCACATTTTAATCATCAACTGCTTTCTGCTTTGCCTTAAATCCACTTCTAATTTTAATTTATCCAAGTGGTCAGCTAAGACAGACGCCCAATGCTGCAGCTGTTCTAGTATACCCCAGGGAGTTGTCATAGCCACAGTAAGGATAACCAATGTGTTCTGTACAGACGTAATTTTTAATATATGCAAATACTTTCCTATATATAGACTTTACCTGGAATGTTTCTTCATTCAACGCAAATTTTAGAAGATCTACATGAGCTGGATCACCGTCCAACACCCAAACACTCAGCCTGGTGTGGTCATCTCTGTAATCATCACGAACATCAATGTAACCATATTCCAAACCAGATCCCTTGCTTGAATTCTCGATACCTACACACAAAAGTGTTAGTAATAATGCGAAAGCGACGATAATAAAATATACCTTGAAGTTTAGCTACCATTGTAGTCTTTCCAGACTCATTGTCGCCCAAGACAAGGATCTGCTTATGAGGAGATAATTTTGGATTACCATTTTTCTGAACATCATGTAAAATTTGTGACCACAAATTTTTCTTATCCTCCTCGTTTACAATAAGAGGTCCAGTAGATTTATCTACTAGCGGAGCCATTTCGGTAAAATAAAATTAGAAATATTTAATTTTTTACAATTGTCAAATATAACGTCACGTTGACATTTCTACTTTCTTCGGAATCAAGTCAGATTAACTGTTAAACCAATGACGATATTAGTTTCATTGCACGTGTCCAACATCGACCAATAGAAAATGCATTCATAATTCTAGAATCGCACAAACTAACGCATCGCATAATCTATCTTGACATTTGGTAAATGTTCGCATATCTTAAAATAGATGGCGTAGGTTGTCTTAATTTAATATAATACATTTTTAAAAATTTCAAAATTGAGAATATGTATTTAAATATTTAAGAAATTATCTACTATTTAGTGATTAAATATTCGTTATTAATGATAGTAATAAACGAATTACTAAAAACATAGTTAAAAATATAATTAGTGTGACATCTATATGATGATAGCAGCAGCACAAGTCGACCACCCGCAAGGATTCATAAACCTTGCCCCACCTATTTACATTTTGACCAACGTAAGCTTGAAAACCGTTAAACGCCGCTCCCCTATATCATCTCCAAAAATAGTTTGGTTACCTCGGGGAGACCTCGACCGATTTTGTTGGAGTTGTCTAGTAACATTACTGTGGTAACGATTTTAGTGAACTGTTTGTGTTAAAGTTAAGTAGTGGTGTATTACTTTATTGAAAAATGGCATCGCGATCGAAAAAAGGATCAACGCCGTCGGCTGTACAACGGCCGGCGAGCCCGCTGAGTCCCACAAGACACTCCAGATTGCAGGAAAAAGCCGATCTACAAAATTTGAATGACCGTCTGGCCGGGTACATCGATAGAGTAAGATTTTTAGAAGGTGAAAATAACAGGTTGACGAGGGAAATTCAATCCACCCAAGAAACCGTCACCAGGGAAGTTTCTAACATCAAATCTATGTACGATCATGAATTGTCGGATGCTAGAAAACTCCTAGACGAAACCCATCGTGAAAAAGCGCGTTTGGAAATTGATGTTAAGCGACTTTTAGAAGAAAATGATGAACTGAAAGCTGATTTAGGTAAGAGGAACAAGGAGTTGCAATTAGCCGAAAGTTCTGTTAGAATCTATGAAACTAGATGTAACGAATCGCAGCTCAAAGCTAATCAGGCAATTGCTGATGCTAAGAAAGCTATCGCCGATGCTAAAGAACTCGAAAAAGAACGGGACAAGTTAAGGAAACTTCTTGAAGCAACACGTAAACAGTTGGAACAGGAATCTTTGGCTAGAGTAGATGTCGAGAATAAAAATCAAAGTCTTAGGGAAGAACTATCCTTCAATGATCAGGTAAGTGATATTTTGATCCTGATTTGTTGATAGCTTATTTGTAGAACATCATAAATTGCCACTATCTGCAAGTTATTTGTACATCTTTTGTAGTTTATATTTCCAAATTTACCATTTTGATTATTTACATGAAATAATCAAGGTTACAGCTCCTACACGTTGGTATACATACATTATAGAATATACAACTTTTGGCTGAATTAATTAGGTACATAATATACCAACATTTCTTTTAAAAAGCTGACTTTCATTCTATAAAAAAAATCTATACAAAAATATATTTGACAAGTGTTTGCTAAAAGTAGGTCACTTTATCCAAAGAAAATAATATCTTTGGTGTTTTTAATATTTCTTTGCATTTTTACTTGTTTGTACTCACTTTACCACTTTATTATTTATTTAACAAGATAGGAATATAGGACTATCATAAATTATTTGTTTAGGTGAAAAAATATTTTGATATAATTTTACTTTATTCTTTCTTTTAAACTGACTATTAAGCTAAATTTGATGACAGTACTGCTGAGTAACATATTTTGGTTTTTCATCTGAATTATTCATAATTTCCTGTAACTGATAGTGTAAATAGTGGAATAAGGTGTAGCACACAACATCACAATTCCATTCTTTATACTAAAAATTGACTCAAAAATGTGTATGAATTAACATACATAAACAAATGTTTACAAATATTTGATAAGTAGGTGTATACTATATCTCTAAATATATAAAACTTGCATGATCTAATCATATCTTAAATGTTCCATTGTGTAAAACACATGTCAATTTTGCCATTATTCTATAATTTAAAAAAAAACATTCCTAAATTTGTAAATGTATACATTTGTTTAATTTTTACATTGATAAAATATCATTTACATAAATTGCAAAATTGTGAGGTCTATTTTTGAAATCTTCAAGGATTTTTATGAAATAAAAATTTACTAAACTCAGTGAATTATTAAATTTGCAATGAAAACATGACATCATTCAACATTTTTTTTTTTTTTATTAAATATATATTTTTCCTAAAGGTTATTAGTAAAATGTTCTTTAAATAATGTTTATAAACTAATTCTCAGAATAATTGTTAATATTTCTTAAAAATCATTCCATTAAGATGTCATTTATAAATGTGGATATTTGGGCCTTTATGAACTAGTTTTCAGACAGTAAATTGCTGATTATTCTCAGAATATTAGATTTAGAAAGTTAAGAGATTTTGTTTTGGTTGCAAGATTTGTTGAGATTATAATAGTGACACATAATGCAAACAATAATTTAGTATTGCCAAATCTAGATTTCCTGTAATTAATGGCAGATTAAGTACATTACTAAGTGATATCCAAGCCCAAATTTAGCTGTGCTCATTGGGAATTATAGATTACTTGGAAAAATTAAACTACTCAAGGTGACCATTTAGGGAAAATCAGAAAAAGGAAAAACATGTAAAGGGTATAGAGTCAATAAAATTCACATTAAAAAATAATAATATAAAATTGATAATTACACAAAAGATTTTTGGTCAATCAAAGTTCATATTTAAGTAAAGCATTTTCCATAATTTTTAAAGTTAATTAAAAAATAGCTGATATCTAAAAAGTTGAAGTATTATGAAGCATAAAATCACTTTGACAGGTTTAATGAGTTTGGCACATCGGCCGTGCACAAGAAAAGTGACATGTCCCAAAAATCTTATCTTTAAGATAAATAATATAAAATGTTAATAAAAAGATTGACTTTTATCAGAAAAAAAAAACGACATAAAGATCAACCCAAAAACTATGTTCCTCAATGTTACTTTAATTGAATCAATTATTACTTAAGTCATATTTTGGCTATATTGAGATTTATAGGAAAATCCAATTTTTTGACATACCTGCGATTAGTGCTAAAAACCGTCAGTCAACACATTACATAATATGGGAGATGTATGAGAGGTTGTTTTACTGCATGTTGTTCTAAAACACCTTAAGTCATCGACTTAGGGGGTTTTAGTCACGTTTTAGTAATAAAGTGTTGGATGTTTGAAATATGACTTAGGAGTGTTTTAGTAATAACTGATTCAATTATATTAAAAACTTACAGAAAGTATGTAAGTATCAATTTGCTAAAGTTTGTATCTTGTTTTTGAGAAAATAAAAAAAACTAGAATGAAGATATACAGCATGTCCCGAAATTAGACAGTCATGTTTTAACAGCATAACCTAAAATAGGAGTAAAAGTTTATGTAAACATAGGTCCGAAAACGTTTTGTTTCCGAGATACAGGTTGTTAAAAGTGAAGTCTTGATGACACATTTTTGTAAATATTTTCTAAACTTTTAAAGATAACTAAGTGAAATTTAGTACAAATGCTAAACTTTTTATGCTCTATTTAATGGTCTAAATGCCAGTTTTTGATCATCTTAGATGGGTAAATTAGGGGAGGGGCTTAGGGTTAAATTGTCCTAAGTGTTTTAGTTGACTGTTTTTAAAATTTTTGACTACAAAATTTGAAAAACCAATATTTTCGCTAGGATGCGCCATTTTCAAGAGAAAAGCATTTGAAAATTTCATGATAAGTTGATGTTATCTTTTTCGAAAGTGTAAACAATAATTAGTAGGCCTGTGGAATAAGAAATTTTATTTTTTTTTAATTTTGGGAAAACTGGTGACTAAAGAAATTTTAGAAAATATTTACAAAAATGTGCCATCAGGACTTCACTTTTAACACCCTGTATCTCGAAAACGAAACGAAATGTTTATATGAACTTTTACTTCTATTTTAGGATGTAGACGAGGATGTAGATTATGCTGTTAAAATATGACTATCTAATTTTGGGATACCCTGTATAATGCTTAATCAGATTTTTGCAGAATCAATAGGTTTCCCCGTTTGATTTTTCCTAAATATTTCAATTTGAAATTGTTTTTTGTTTCTGAGTAGAGATTTTTTTTTTTTTTTCAATATTTCAACTCCCCTTATTTTTATTACTTATTTATGAATTCCCTTACCTTATACCTAGAGCTTGATTTTATAAACATTTCATGTTGATATCGCTTTTGGTTTTTTATTAGTATTTTAACCTCCCTTGGCCCCCATTTTATTTAGATTTTTTTAAATTAATAGGCTTTGTCCCCTTATAGAATTAGATTTTTGCCAAACATTTCAAGTTAATATTATCGTTTTTGAGTTTTTAAATATTTCAACCCCCTTAACCTCCCATTTTTATTCAATTTTTTTTTTTTTCAGAATTAATAGTCTTCATCTCCTTATAGAGCTTGATTTTTACTAAAAATTGCATGTTGATATCGCTTTTCTTTTTTAATCTATGATTTTTTTTTTAATTTCAATTTAATATCAATATTAATCAGATTTGACTTGAGGATCTTGGGGAGGGATGGGTAAATACGGATTCATTGAATATCCTCAGATTTTTACTTTTGCCGTATTTTGAAAAGAGGGATGGCGTAAGTAGTACCAAAAGTCTCGCCTTCTTTATGAAGCTGAAACTAACAGCCAGAGTTAGCAGCCTATGTGAGAAAATGCAAGTTAAATATCACAAAATAAAGCAATTTTACTACTTAATTTGTCTTATTAGTAATAATAATGATAATAACAAAGGGAGGTTATCTGTATTTGGAAAAATAAATATTCGTAAAAATGAAATAAATATTGGCACTTTAAAAAAATACTTTATGAAAATTCATCGGCGCTGGGTTATATCATGTATCAATGAATTTCTTTATTATTAGGCTACCACAAAACGTCAATCTTAAATATAACATCGAGTGCTAAAACGTTAAAAATATCAAAAAACAATTTGGCTCGGAAGACACATCACATAAAAATATGATTTTTCTAAATGAAAAATTATCGGCGCTGGGTTATATAATATATCAGTGGATTACTCAAGCAATAGGCTACAAAAATACGTCAATTTGAAATACAATATCGAGTGCTAGAACGTTGATAATAACTAAAATTATTTAGACTTGAGGAACTTTTCTTATAAAAATTAGATTTTTCTTTAAGAAAAATTAACGGCGCTGTGTTTTATCGTACATAAATAGAATTCTTAAGCGATTACTATAAGAATAATTTAATTAAAAGTACAATAACGAGTGCTAAAATGTTGAAAATATCAAAAAAACATTTAGGCTCGAGATACATTTCCAAAAAAAAGTGATTTCTCTTAACGAAACATTCTCGGCGCTGGGTTATATCATGCATTTATTGGTTTCTTAATCAATAGGCTACAAGAAAACGTTAATCTTAAATATAATATCGAGTGCTAGAACATTAAAAATATCAATAAACAATTTCGCTCGAAAGACACTTCACATAAAAATATGATTTTTCTAAATGAAAAATTATCGGCGCTGAGTTATATGATATATCAGTGGATTACTCAAGCAATAGGCTACAAGAATAAGTCAATTTAAAACACAATATCGAGTGCTATATCGTTAAAAATAATTAAAATTATTTAGGCTAAAGGAACATTTTTCGTAAAAATATTATTTTTTTTTAAGAAAAATTAACGGCGCTGGGTTTTATCGTACATAAATAGAATCCTCAAGCAATATGCTATAAGAATGAGTTAATCAAAAGTACAATATCGAGATAAAATTAACAAAATATATTTAGGTTCGAGAAACACTTTACATAAAAATATGATTGTTTCCAATGAAAAATTATCAGCGCTGGGTTAAATCATACATCAGTGGATTTCTTAAGCAATAGTTTAGAAGAATACGTCAAACAAAAATACAATAAATAATTTTTGTTATTTTCAACGTTCTAGCACTTGATATTGTATTTTAAATTGAAGTTTTCTTGTAGCCTATTGCTTGAGTAATCCATATAACCCTGCGCCGATAATATTTCATTTAGAAAAATCATATTTTTATGTGGAGAGTCTTCCGAGACAAATTGTTTTTTTGACATTATTAACATTCTAGCACTCGATTTTATGTATAAGATTGACATTTTCTTGTAGCCTATTGATTACGAAA